CCATAATATTTATGATTCGAACAGGGAAAAGTTACCCCAGGGGTGGACTGCTGAGGCTGATTTTGAGCAGCCAGATACAAGGGCAATTAGAAGGGAGCAATCGGAGGCTATTCGAATCAGCGAGGCTTTGAAGGAGCATTTTGAGAATGATTCCCAGTAATATGTCTGTATATGATGCATTCGGCCAGTCAGTGTTTACTTGCCACCATGAATTACCCCTGTAGTGCTTGCTTCTTGAGTATTAATTGCAAGGAGCAAATATTCCTACCTATAACCACTGTGTTTCAATGTTAGCACTGAGATATGTATGTACTCTGAAACCTGTCCTAAATAAGACTCATTTTATTTCAAAGACTCAAGTTTAATAACGAGATAAAACACAAACTTTTGGACAAACAGGGAACATGAAATGAGGAACAGTCTCACAGTTAGGGTTCTCACAGCTGGGTGTAACTCCAGTTTGCATTGGAAAAAACAGTCCCCAGGCACGGCGTGCATGGGGTACTGTGAGGGATTGGGAACACGTGATGAATGAGGTGGGGGAGTTTGGGGAGGGCATGGACTGGAGTACTGTAATGGTTGGAGGGGGAGTCGGACATAGATTTGCTCTGATTGCAGGCTAATGAGGGACTTCAACATCTTTGTCTGGCCCTCTAGGAGCTTTATCATCTGCTCCCACCTCGTCTTCTTTCCTGGCTATCCAGCCTGAATTTTTCATTAATTGTCTCCCTCCATGTTCTTGCTTCTCTATGTGCTGCATCTGTTGACTGCAGTGCTTTGCGAAACAGATCCTCCTTATTCCTGGGTCGCCGCCTTATCTGATGGAGGCGCTCCACCAGTGTGGAGGAGTGTGTTCTCAAGGGCTCATCAGCAGAAGGCAAAGAAACAATGAACAGAACCAGTATTGTGATTGCGCTCACAGCCATGAGTCACAAAAGTTACACACCCTTCTTTCTTGTTGTCCTTTGGCTAGCACACAGGTCACTGTGAGTCCCAATTATGGTGAATTTTGGGGGAGGGAAGGGGGAAAGGGCAAGAAGGGACAAAGGTGGTTTCCGAAGGGGGTTACTATAAGCGTCTAGGGAGTCTGTTCTGAATATTGGTACACTTTTCCACAGGCTAGGATAATCGAACCCGATATCTCACTCCTAAGGGTAACTTAGGATGCATGGGTGCATCTCTGCATGCGTGTGGCTTAGGGTGACCAGACAACAAACGTGAAAAACCGGGACAGGGGGTTCGGGGTAATAGGAGCCTATATAAGAAAAAGACCCAAAAATCGGGACTGTCCCTATAAAATCAGGACATCTGGTCACCCTAGTGTGGCTTCAGACTGGCTCTGTATGCTACTCATCTGTGTGCCGCTCTGGCTAGACCCCTCCAGAGTGAAAAGAGGGCCTGACTTGTCGCACCACCAGATGAGAACATAAAAACATAAGAATGGCTCTACTGGGCAGATTGGCAGAGGCCCTGGGGGGGTTTCGCCTTCCTCTGCAGCGTGGGGCACGGGTCACTTGCTGGAGGATTCTCTGCACCTTGACATCTTTAAACCATGATTTGAGGACTTCAATAGCTCAGACATAGGTCAGGGGTTTGTTACAGGAGTGGGTGAGTGAGATTCTGTGGCCTGCGTTGTGCAGGAGGTCAGACTAGATGATCATAATGGTCCCTTCTGACCTTAAAGTCAATGACTCTATGACCAAAAGTCCATCTAGCCCAGTATTCTGTCTTCCAACAGTGGCCAGTGCTAGGTGCCCCAGAGGGAATGAACAGAAAAGGTAATCATCAAGTGATCCATCCCCTATCGCACATTCCCAGCTTCTGGCAAACAGAGGCTAGGGACATCATTCCTGCCCATCATGGCTAGTAGCCTTTGATGGACCACTCCATGAACTTATCTAGTTCTTTTTTGAACCCTGTTATGGTCTTGGACATCACAACATCCTCTGGCAAGGAGTTCCACAAGTTGAATGTAAGTTGTGTGAAGAAATACTTCCTTTTATTTGTTTTAAACCTACTGACTATTAATTTCATTTGGTGACCCCCAGTTCTTGTGTTATGAGAAGTAGTAAACAACACTTCCTTATCTACTTTCTCTACACCAGTCATGATTTTATAGACCTCAATCATATCTCCCCTTAGCCATCTCTTTTCCAGTCTTATTAATCTCTCCTCATACCCCTAATCATTTTTGTTGCCCTTTTCTGAACCTTTTCCAATTCCAATATATATTTTTTGAGATGGGGCGACCACATCTGCACACAATATTCAAAATGTGGGCATACCATGGATTTAGATAGAGGCAACATGATATTTTCTGTCTTATTATCTGTCCCTTTCTTAATTATTCCCAACATTCTGTTAATTTTTTTGACTGCTGCTGCACATTGAGTGGATGTTTTCAGAGAACTATCCACAATGACTCCAAGATCTCTTTCTTGAGAGGTAACAGCTAATTTAGACCCCATCATTTTATATGTATAGTTGGGATTATGGTTTCCAATCTGCATTACTTTGCATTTATCAACATTAAATTTCATCTGCCATTTTGTTGCCCAGTCACCCAGTTTTGAGAGACCCTTTTGTAGCTCTTCGCAGTCTGCCTGGATCTTAACTATCTTTAGTGGTTTTGTATCATTTGCAAATTTTGCCACCTCCCTGTTTACCCCTTTTTCCAGATCATTTATGAATATGTTGAACAGGACTGGGCCCAGTACAGACCCTGGGGGACATCACTATTTACCTCTCTCCATTCTGAAAACTGACCATTTACAGAGATTTCACTTTTGGCACTATACCTTTTAATACACCTCTACCCCGATATAACGCGACCCGATGTAATACGAATTCAGATATAACGCAGTAAAGCAGCGCTCCAGGGGTGTGGGGCTGTGCACTCCGGTGGATCAAAGCAAGTTCAATATAATGGGGTTTCACCTATAACGCGGTAAGATTTTTTGGCTCCCGAAGACAGCGTTATATCGGGGCAGAGGTGTATCTGTTTAACTAGCTTCCTCATTTTTGTGTAGTTCCCCTTTCTGAAATTAAATGCTACAGTGTTGGGCTGTTGTGATGTTTTTCCAGCCACAGGGATATTAAATTTAATTATATTATTGTCATAAACTTACAGCTAAGGGTAGCATAAAATCCCTCCTTACCTGTAAAGGGTTAAGAAGCTCAAATAACCTGGTTGGCACCCTGACCAGAAGGACCAATGGGGAAAGAAAATACTTTCAAATCTGGGGGGGGAGAAAAGGCTTTGTTTTGTGCTGTGTGGGTGTTCTCTCCGGAGACAAAGGGAGAGACCAAGCAAGTAATCCAGCCCCCACTAAAATAATACATCTAATATTACAAAAATAGTAAGTAATAGGGGGGAGGGATAGCTCAGTGGTTTGACCACTGGCCTGCTAAACCCAGGGTTGTGAGCTTAATCCTGGAGGGGGCCACTTGGGGATCTGGGGCAAAATCAGTACTTGGTCCTGCTAGTGAAGGCAGGGGGCTGGACTCAATGACCTTTCAAGGTCCCTTCCAGTTATAGGAGATCTCCATTAATTAATTAGAATAGCAAGGAAATGCATTAGAGTATCTTTTGTTTTCACTTGTAAATTTTCCCTGTGCTAAGAGGAAGGTTTATTCCTAGGTGGGGTTTTTTTTTGTTTTTTTTTTGTATCTTTAAAGTTTTGCCAAGAGGGGAAATCCTCTGTGTTTTGGGGGAATAGGACTCCAAGTGGTCCTTTCCCTAATTCTTTGTCTAAATCACTTGGTAGTGGCAGCATACTGTTCAAGGACAAGGTGAAACTTGTGCCTTGAAAAAGTTTTTAACCTAAGCTGGTAAAAATAAGCTTAGGGGGTCTTTCATGCGGGTCCCCACATCTGTACCCCAGAGTTCAGAGTGGGAAAGGAACCCTAACAATTATGGTCACTGTTACCAAGCTGTCCGACTATATTCACCTCTTGGACCAGATCCTGTGTTCCACTTAGGACTAAATCAAGAATTGCCTCTCCTCTTGTGGGTTCCAGGACCAGCTGCTCCAAGAAGCAGTCACTTAAGGTGTCAAGAAACTTTATCGCTGCATCCCATCCTGAGGTGACATGTACCCAGTCAATATGGAGATAATTGAAATCCTCCATTATTATTATTGAGTTTTTTATGTTAACAGTCACTATCACCATCCTGGTCTGGTGGTCTGTAATATATCCCTACCGCTATATTCTTATTATTAGAGCAAGGAATTACTATCTATAGAGATTCTATGTTACAGTTTGATTCATTTACGATTTTTACTTCATTTGATTCTACACTTTCTTTCCCATATAGTGCCACTCCCCCACCAGCACGACCTATTCTGTCCTTCTGATATATTTTGTACCCTGGTATTACTGTGTCCCATTGATTATCCTCATTCCACCAAGTTTCTGTGATGACTGTTATATCAATATCCTCATTTAATACTAGGCACTCTAGTTCACCCATTTTATTACTTAGACTTCTAGCATTGGTATACCAGCACTTTAAAAACTTGTCTCCTTTTAGCTGTCTGCCATTATATGATGTAATTGAACAGGACTCTTTTTTATTTGACTGTTTCTGATCAGACCCTGCCTGTATTTTATCATTTTCCATCCTCTTGTCCTCACTAGGACATAGAGATTCTCTATTAATAGATCCTCCCCTGAGGGATGTCCGAACCACGTGCTCCTCCACACCTGACAGCTTTCCCCCAGTCCTTAGTTTAAAAAGTGCTCTACAACCTTTTTAATGTTGAGTGCCAGCAATCTGGTTTCGTTTTGGTTTAGGTGGAGCCCATCCTTCCTGTACAGGTTTCCCCTTTCCCAAAAGTTTCCCCAGTTTCTAATAAATCTAAACCCCTCCTCCCTATACCATTGTCTCATCCACGCATTGAGACCCTGCAGTTCTGCCTGTCTAACTGGCCCTGCGTGTGGAACTGGGAGCATCTCAGAGAATGCTACCATGGAAGTCCTGGACTTCAATCGCTTACCTTTGCTTTCTGCTCCATATTGTACGCCAGCTCCACTTCCTCATCCACCACTTGGTCACCAGGGTTGAGTCCACTGGCTGCTGCCTCCAGACTAGTCCCCCGGAAGTATCCATGGGGCTCATGGTGGTGGAGGTGGGTTTGCTGCCGAGGATGGTGTGAAGATCCTTGTAGAAGCACATCTTCAGCGCTGCACCAGAGCAATGGTTGGCCTCACTTGCCTTCTGGTACACCTGCCTCAGCTCCTTTATTTTAGCACAATCCTGCTGCGTGTCCCTCTCCTGCCCCTTCTTCTGCATGTCACTAGCAATCATCCTGTAGGTATCAAAATGGTGCAAAGCTGTGACTGCACAGACTCCTCTCCCCATAGACTCAGCAGAGCCAACAATTCGGCGTGCTCCACGTGGAGAGCGTCTACTGCGGACAGCTGGCATGTTCAGCGGCATGAACAGTGCAGGACATTTCAAAAATTCCCAGGCCTTTAACCGGGGGAGAGGGGCAGAGCTGTGTACCTTCAGGGCAGCAGAGTTCAAACCGCTGACCATAGCCGTCAGGATAGGATTTTGGGACACCTCCTGGAGGTCAGTTAGGGCGACATAACCAAGCAAGGTGTCTACACGGATGGTACATTGCTCTAACTACGTCACAAAAAGCTCTCTGCTGCTCAGGGAGGTGGTTTTATTATGTCGTCCTAGCAGGGGAGTTACAGCAGTGGGAAGAGCATTTCCAGGTGTACACCTCCACTGATAATTTTTGTCGAAAAACCTTGTTGTGCAGACAAGGCCTTAGACGCAACAAATCCTGCATCTTGGCAGGGGCTTAGGCTAGATGACCCTTGTGGTCCCTGCTAACCCTCTGGTTCTATCTAGATTGGCAGCCCCAAGCCATCTGCCTTTCCTTGCAATGTGTGCGCCAGAATAGCGCACTCTCTTTGCCTTAAGTTGTCCTTTCTATCACCAGCAGGTCAGTACAAAGTACACAGTAAAATAATAGACTTTTGCGGTCATTGTTCTGAACCACGGGGTGGGAGTAAAAATAGCCACAAATATCTTATAACACTTTGCATTTGACATGTCTCTAGCCAAATTAGGGCAATTTATCCCGTAAAATGTAAAGGCAGCGAAACGCTCGGGCACTGACCACACTATGAGGCAGGGCACTTTTCCTGTTGCTTTTTCTCTTTCTGCATATGCTGCTACAATAAACGTTCCTGCCAGACAATGCATTTGATTTTTATCCCCCCCGAGTGACGCCATCGTGGGCAGAGGGGGCAGAGGGTGTTACGGCCGTTGACCAGGAGGGAAGGTGGCATTAAGCAGCAGGGGATGGGGTGGCACATTTGCCGATGGTTGTGGGATTTGATATTTCAGAGAAACAAACACTCTGGAGAGTAAATTCTCTGGTGAGGATGCCATTTTGAGCACTCTAGGGCCAGCTGGGGGCTGGGGGGTCAGAGGGAGGCAATAAAAACTGAGCAGGTGAAGGCAGACTGGCCTTACCATGAGGCAAACTGAGGCGGCAGCCTCAGATGCCAGACTGGGGCGGGGGGCGCCACCAGGACCCAGAGTGTAGACAATTGTGTCTGCTGCTGGTGCATATGTAGTCTCTCTGCTCCAGATGCACAGAGATGGTGGAGTGCTGTGCTGGAGGAAGGAGAGCACAAGAGACATAACAGGCAGGCAGGAGAAGAGGTGAGAGGGAATAACAGAAAGCAGCAGGAGCTGCAGGGAGAGAGAGTGTGTAACCATGCACATTCCTGAAGAAAAGTGTAGATCAGAGAAGAGTGTGGTGGAGGCGCAAGAAACAGCTGCTGCTGAGTTTAGTTTCTTAAGTCTAGATGATCCAGGACTTGAGCAGTAGCCTGAGGGACTTCCTTGTACTGCCTGGGCCACAGCATGTGAAAAATTTCATG